TTGATCATAACAAGGAAGGGGGAACCTTGAGCTCCTGGAAATTAATTTGACTTTTCCCACAACTTTCTTTATGATTTACAGACTGACTACCAACTAGTTTCATGGATGGGTGGAACGTGTAATAGCTAATTAATTAAAAATGTGGTATATTGCGTGATATGTTCAATTTCAAATATTATAAATACAACACTGATTAGAGTCAGTTGTGTCATGACAGGAGTTTTATTTCTTTAGGGCATGTTAGTCATCAACCTGACTGTAAGGTTGTGTGTGTGTGCGTGCGTGCGTGCGTGCGTGTGTGTGTGTGTGTGTGTTTACCATATGGGTCAGCTGCTCCATCACACACTCCACCACCTCCGACTTGTTCTCCTGCAGCTCGGGTGAGAACTTCTCATTCAGCCAAGCCTAAGAGTCGCACACAAACACGGCAGAACAGATGGAGCCCGGCGAAGAGGGACAACTGTGTTTAAAACAGGGTGTTGTCACTAAAAACAGGGTAAATACGGTGAAGTCTCTCACTTCTTCCAGTTTGGAAATGAGCTCTGCCGGAGTCATGACGTCCTCCTCCTCCTGGCTGTCCTCCTGGTTGACGCAGTCTTCCGACAAAGACTCCGACATAATTTCGTTTTTTAAATTGTGGTGGCCAAAATGAATGTTTTTTTTATGTGTTGTTGTAGGTTCAAACAACACTTAAATTAACAAATATGGTTAAATGCTGTGGGAAAAACAACCAGCAACTACCTGCTCGACAGTATCTTCACCGACGCTCTTGTTTATTCGCGCCACCGAGACGTTCTCGCGAGACTTACAGATCTCGGTGTGTTGCCAGATAAACAGGAATTTTCACTTTTTTTTTAAAGATGGTTTAGAATCAATATACCATACCACTTTATTTATAAAGCAGTTAAAACCCGCAAAAAGGCCAACCAAAGTGCTGTACAGCATGAACAAAAACAAAACATGATATACAGTACAATAAAGTTTTTGAAAATCCCAAATCAGGTCTCTTGTAAATGAGTCCTCGAGGCCTGTCTAAATAAAGGTTGAATGAAAAAAATACACGATTGTTTTGGCATTTCCGTGCACCAGAAAATTCCCCTAATTTGTTGTTCACATAAACACCCACAAACCATCAGAGAGTCCGATCCGACCAGCCAGAGTGTGTGGGACCGAGAGAACCGTGTCTCCGTAAAACATAACTCTCCACACACACACAGCAACAGCACGAGATTTCGTTATTTCCTATCTGGCATAAAGTGGAAGTGTCGTTTCGGGTTGCGCAGAACTGAACTTTCCAAGTTCGTATAATGCCAGAAGATGGGCGCAGATTCTGATAGTGAACAGTGGATACCTGCGGTTTAAAAAACCAGCGCATCTTATTTATGTACAAAATTATGTTTTATCTTGAATTTAGTATGTGCGGCTTACCGTTAGGTGCGTTCTGTAGCCTGGCAGTTATGGTATAAATGGGACTTTTTATTATGTTCATATTAGTGTTGCTGTTAACTTGTGTTGCTGTTGGACATACATTTTTTTTAATATTTTGCACTATATATAATTATGTAGAAAAGCCAAAATTTCAATATTTGTTTTAATTTCTTATATATGATTTGTTATATTTTGTGCTCTGTAATGTTCTTTATACAGAACGGAAGGTTACATAACTCTATAATAAATCAATGGGCTTCACTTAAAGATGTATTTGCATTTCATGTATTATATTATTGCATGTGGCCCGCAGCCCTCTGATAGATTTTAAAATTGACCCTCGGGGAAAAAAGTTTTGGGCACCTCTTTTTCTAGAGCCTGTCTTGTGTAGGAGTTCTCCTTCTGCCTGGCTCCTGAGCTAGTGGGGACGCTGTCTGCTCTGTGGTACAGAGTCCTGATGACTCCTAACTTGTGCTCCAAAGGGTGATGGGAGTCAAACTGCAAATACTGGTCTCTGTGGGTGGGTTTGTGTTACACCTCACTTTCAAATTTCCTCAACCAGAAACTGAGACCTCACAGTCCAAGAAAGCCAACCTGCCATTTTTTACATCTTCTCGTGTGAACTTTATATATTTATCCACAGAGTTGATGTGATCAGTGAAATGTTGGACTTCCTGAGATTTTATTTTAACCCAGGTGTCGTCAACATACCTGAACCAATGACTTGGTGGTGTCCCTGAAAAGGACGTCAAGGCTCTCTTTTCTACCTCCTCCATGTACAAGTTGGCAACAACAAGAGAAACTGGAGACCCCATAGCACACCCATGTTTCTGCCTATAATATTGCTCCCCATGTGTGAAGTAGGATGACTGCAGGCACAGTTTCAAGAGTTGACACAGTTGTTCTGTAGAAAGCGTGGTCCTGCTGCTCAGGTTGGTGTCTGATTTTAATCTTAAACAGACCACCTCTACTGCATCATCAACAGGAACGTGTGTAGAGTGATGTGACATAAAAAAAGAGACCATTGTTTCATCAGTCTCCATGATGACATCCCTGACCTTATCCACAAAGTCCATGGTGTTCTGCATGTGGTGTTCTGAGCTGCCAACTAAAGGGATGAGTACAGACGCCATATACAGTATTTGGAAACATTGTAAGTGACAGATCATGCTAACAATTGGTCTTAAAGGTACACCTTGTTTGTGGATTTTAGGTAAATCATACAGACTAGGTGTGGCCTCCCCTGGGTACAGTCAGTGGTACAGAATAGGGTCAATAGCCTTGTCCTGATCCAAAATTTTCAGGCAATCTATCAACTTCTTCTTGTAACCATTTCGGCTCTCTTTTCAGCAGCTCATAAGTGGTTAAGTCACTAAGGAGTGTCATAACTTGCTCATGATCTTAAGTTTCAATGAAAAGAAGTCTGAAGTCATGTTGTTCCCTCCCAACGACACGATCACAAACCACTGCATTGACCTTTCCACTCTAACCCTGTCAGAAAAACAAAGAGTCACTAATCTGGGTGTGATAATGGACACTTCCCTGAAACTTAACAATCATGTAAACATGATTGTTAAATCATGTTTCTTCCAGCTGAGGCGGCTGTCTAAACTGAAGCCCATATTGTCCAAAAATAACCTGGAGACAGTAATACATGCATTCATTACATCTAGGCTTGATTACTGCAATTCGCTCCTGTTTGGTATCAGTCAGACCTCCATTGCACGACTACAACTGGTCCAGAATGCAGCAGCCCGATTTTTTACCAGTACAGGCAAAAGAGAGCACATTACACCAGTTTTGGCCTCACTGCACTGGTTACCGGTTCACCTTAGAATCCAGTTCAAAATACTCCTGCATGTCTACAAATCGCTGAACAGTGTCGCCCCCCCATCTCTCTGATCTGCTACAACCGTATATCCCACCACGTTCCCTGAGGTCAGCGGACCAATTGCTCCTCACAGTTCCAGGAACTTGTCTTAAGCGCAGAGGTGACAGGGCCTTCTCTGTAGCAGGACCAAGACTTTGGAACGAGTTACCTCTGCTTGACAGACTGGCCCCCTCCATCTTGGTTTTCAAATCCCGTTTAAAAACACACTACTATCCAGTATCTTTCAACACCAGAGGATCTGTGTTTTGAACCTGTATGCTCCACACTGGTTAGTCGTCATATTTATTATGTGCATCGATTTTATGTCTATATTTCTGATTTACTTCATTGTGTATATTGCTTCGTGTGTTGTCTCTTGTTCTGTCTGTACAGCACTTTGGTTGGCCTTGTAGCTGTTTTAAGTGCTCTATAAATAAAATGGTATGGTATATAGTCTTTCTGGTTCAAATCACTGCGCACCTTGTCTGCTGGGAGGATGATGATGTTTTTGTCCTTGCTGAGAGTGGTGAGTGAATCCCTCTCCTCTCTACTGATGTTGGAAGGTGGTGGTCATTGCTGAGGCAGGCTGAAACTTTGTTCCTGAAAATGTTACTGCATTGGCCGGGAATCGGACCCGGGCCTCTCGACCACATCGCATGCGAGAATTCTACCACTGAACTACCAATGCTGTGATAACATCATCAAAATGGTTGATCCACTATGAGAAGGTGTTATTTACTGTATAAGACTGAGCTTAGTACAGCTCCTCAGACTGCAGTCTTTCGGATGAAAGACAAATCTTCTAACCTCTGCGCAACCACTCCCGCCATACATACTGTTACATACATGCATACATGTATTCAAAATGATCAAGTTATTTGAGTTGTGCAAACTTAACATATACATAGTAGTTGAACAAACAACATTTTTAAGTTAAAAAAATTGAAAATTTTGAGGCAACGAGTTAGCATAAATTTTTTAAGTAAAGTCCACTTATTGCATCTTACAGTGCTCCACACCAGCTGCAGCCCCCCCGGTCTCTATACCAGTTACAACTCCCCTGGTCCCCATGCCAGCTGCAGTCCCCCCTGATTTCTACACCAGCTGCAGAACTGCTGGTCCAGGAGGACACAGCTCCTGCCGAGTGAAGGATCTCCTGGCCGCCCCCCGGAGCCCCTGCCCTGTGATGTCTCCTGGCCGCCCACCGGAAATATTGCCTCGCCGGTCTCCCTGCCACACCTAAATTGCATCAGCCTAACTGGCATGTTTTTGTTCTTGGATAAAACCGGAGTACCCGGAGAAAACCCATCCATCCATCCATTTTCTTTACCCGCTTATTCCATTTTGGGTCACGGGGGTCGCTAGTGCCCATGTCCAGCAATCACTGTGCGAGGGGCAGGGTACACCCTGGATGGGTCGCAAGTCCATCACAGGGACACATAGAGACAAACGAGACAAACAACCATTCACTCTCTCACTCACACCTAGGGACAATTTAGAGTTACCAATCAGCCTAACATGCATGTTTTTGGTCTGTGGGAGGAAACCGGAGTACCCGGAGAAAACCCACCTCCCCCAATCTCCACCTCAACTGCATCAACTGCATCAACTGCATCAGCCTATCAGGCATGTTTTTGTTCTGGGATGAAACCAGAGTGCCAGGAGAAAACCCACCTAATAACCAGACCATGTTTTTGTTCTGGGATGAAACCAGAGTGCCAGGAGAAAACCCACCTAATAACCAGACCATGTTTTTGTTCTGGGATGAAACCGGAGTTCCCGGAGAAAACCCACCTAATAACATGACCATGGTTTTTGTTCTGGGCAGCACGGTGGCGTAACTGGTAGAGCTGCTGCCTCTCAGCGAGCAGGTCCTTGGTTCAAACCCCGGTCCAGGGGCCTTTCTGGGTGGAGTTTGCATGTTCTCTCCGTGCATACGTGGGTTTTCTCCGGGTACTCCGGTTTCCTCCCACAGTCCAAAACCATGCATGTTAGGCTGATTGGTAACTCTAAATTGTCCCTAGGTGTGAGTGAGAGAGTGAATGGTTGTTTGTCTCGTTTGTCTCTATGTGGCCCTGTGATGGACTTGCGACCCGTCCAGGGTGTACCCCGCCCCTCGCACAGTGATTGCTGGACATGGGCACCTGCGACCCCCGTGACCCAAAATGGAATAAACGGGTAAAGAAAATGGATGGATGGATGGATGGATGGATGTTTTTGTTCTGGGATGAAACCGGAGTTCCCGGAGAAAACCCACCTCCCCCACCCGCCACGTCAACTGCATCAGCCTTTCAGGCATGTTTTTGTTCTGGGATGAACCCGGAGTGCCAGGAGAAAACCCACCTAATAACCAGACCATGTTTTTGTTCTGGGATGAACCCGGAGTGCCAGGAGAAAACCCACCTAATATCCAGACCATGTTTTTGTTCTGGGATGAAACCGGAGTTCCCGGAGAAA